TACCACTAAGTTCATCAGGAACATAAGTTTTGATAACAATGTGTACAAATAGAGTGGGCGAGAGCACCATCGTCTAAAACTCAAAAATTGTGCACACATCATGGTGCAGTGAGAGCGCAACTTACTTGATTTGTATCGGATCTGAGTGATATGTGACGATAACCAGCCTGCAAGCCATCTAGTGGAAGAATACGTTGTCCGAGTTGTTTACCATTCTCATCGTACACGGCAAATCTCAAAACTGCTAGTTCCGGAAGCACTACCTGAACATTAATAGTTGACAACGGGAAAAGGATATTTAGTTGGAGGATCAATTTGGCAAAAGCGCTACCTTTCTAAATACAAATGGAGCCTCAGCATAAACAGGATTCAAGCCGTTAGCAGGAATAGTCCTCGTTCTGTGCTCTTTTCTAACGGTATCAGTCGGGAGGCCGTACATCTCTACTTCCACATATGTACCAATCTTTTTGTCGGTGAGAAACTGCCCCGAGATTACCTGAAGAACTAACTGTCATGAGCCGGAATCACAATATCGAAAAAATGAAGAGTAAAAAAATATGAAAAACAATACTGGACTGCTTAATGATGGGGAAATTAAACATCAAGCTCACCCGCACACTACAATGAGCTGCTATCACACCATCCACTGGCGACTCGGAGAAAGGATCGAATGTTCGATCAGGACGGCGCATAAAGTCTGGCTTCAACAAGTACCTGAAAGAGAAGAAGCTATGCACAGCAATGCACAGAAAATTGCTGATACTTACCCGGAACCTCCATTATACTCGAACTTCCCCATATTCAGCTGCATTGATACATCAGGAGTTTGAAAGTTCAACGCCACCATTTGGCAACCAGCATTCCAGAAGATCTGAATTCAGACATTACCCCGCCTGTAAATCCGTCTCGCGTGAAACTAACCTGAGGAAGGAAATTGCTCGAATCCATTCTTGCGCCCTTCGGGTATATCCTGCTGAGCTGTCGCTTGTTGTAGTTAACGAATTCGGGAGCGTACTGCTTCAGATGCCCAAGACCAGTGTTTTCAGCAAACGATGACATGTGGTAGTGCATATTGTTGGCTGCAATATGTTGTTTGAAGCACAACTATGTATCAAAACTGCAAAACTATGTGCGTTGTTGCACCATAAGTTTTATGAATGTTACACGTAGTAAATCAACCGATGAAGTTTATGAGCTTGAATCTGTTGTATCAAAATGTCACAGCACTTCCCAAGCGTATCTTTGTGTCGCTATCGCGTACTACCCTAAAATCTCATAAATAAGTCCGCCCTTTTTGTCAAGGAAAATCGATAAAAA